GCGACTCATACGCATGTCGACAGGGCGTGTGCGCCGCCTCGCCGGCATCTTCCGCTGCGATTCGCGCCTTTTCCTCTCAATGGTGGGCGGCAGAATTGCGTCGTACTTGTCAAGCAGTTCGATGAACAACACTGCAGAGTGAGGCGTTAGCGAGGGCAAGCTGGAGTGGTCTGATCCACCTACGTGTAGGGTGGCGATCCTGAATCGAGAACTCGTTCTCTTGTTTCGGCCTGAGAATGGCTACAGCAAAGCCATGGTCAGCAGCGAACAGCACTAGTTTTGGGGAAACTCGCCTCTTCCCATAGTGAGTGCAAGCTTAGTTGTGTAAATTTCATTGGATTCTTCACTCTCAGCTTCAGGAGTAGAAGCAATGAGTCTGAAAATGCGGACAATGTCAGCGATTGAAGGCCAACTACTAGGTGCAATCATGCTCACTCCTTCAGATGTTTGACGATAGTGTCCAGGACCATTAGGTGGACCTTGGGTAAATGCTGAAGAGCACCCTGAACGTCTTGGATATGCTGCTCCTCAGACGTCTCCTCGGGTTTGGTACCAGAGCCCACTGTTGGACCATGTAACTCCGCAGCACATGATGGCTCGAACACACAACTCACTTATCGGATAAAGCTTGCGAAATTCGTCCCAGCCCTCGTACATGGCGATAGGAGGGTCAAGTTCCAAAGCCCATAACTTGATGGCACTTGCCAAGACGGGAGCGTCATACTTGGCCAGCATGTCCTCCGGCAATGGCTGCTCGGGAGGGATAGCGTTCATACTCTCCCGTAGGTGATGGACAGCCGGCAGAGGAACGTCATAGATCCAAGCCTTGCGTCGCTCTGACACCTCTATAAATGCCAGAAATATGGACAAGTAAATCAGGACTTACCGAGGTCATTGGGCAACCTGGTATATGCCTGCTCCAGAGCATGTAGCATAGCAGTCAATGCAGGCGGGATGTCATCTTTCTGGTCTTCCGGAACATTCGCTGGCCACAGGCCACTGTCCGCCCACCGCCGAAGGTCGATCCCGAACACCACATCGGACTCGTCGTGCGTAACAGGGTCGTACACCTGAGGTTCAGGGCGGAATGATCCGGTCCGGTGCAGTTCGATGAAAACTTTGATGTCTGCCTCGGGATGATAAGAGTCGATGAGCGTTGAGGAACGCTCGAGAGAGGGAACGTAAGACTTGGAAAACTCAGCCAGGACGTCATAATACTGCTTAAGGACTACGATCAAATATTAATGAGACTGTCTTTGGAACCGTAGAGCAGGACGCACCAGTCTTAGCTGCACGTAGTCTGTCCACTTCCCATTTCTGCAACGTCTTGAGAGTGTCTTCAATTCGTTCCTCCAGTGCGAGCCGCTGCCGATCGAGCTTTCGCACAGCAACACGGTACTCTCTGTCCGCTATATCGGCCTCGCGGCGAGCGCGAATATGAGCCGGCTCGTTGGTACCGTTCGCATTCAGTGCTTTGGAAACGAGCGATGCGAGGTTTGTGGCACGCTTGGCGACATTCTCGGCAAGCGGACCAAGTTCCTTCTGTAGTGGAGAGATTACCTGCTCGACATGCACCGGTTCATCAAGCTCGAAAGCCTAAGAGACTGTCAGTCACAGCTCAGAACAGACCGTTGGTAATATGATCTTACCCTTGTTCTGAATTGGTAGAAGGCCTCATTTGTGTCTTCGAACTCATTGCCAAACTCGCCGATCCTACGCGCCAAGTTCTGCTTTTCTATCAACTCTTTTGCAGCTTCTTCGGCGCGATCGAGGCTACCCTCAAACTCCTTCACATTCTCTCTCAACCACGTCGCGAAGTCTTCGCCGCTGAAACAATTGGGATACTCCCCGATCAGCGGGAACCGAATCGAACGGAGTGGCATCTCTTTCTTTGCTCGTTTCATCATGTCAGAAACCAGACCTGGCGTGAACGAGACGCCCGCGAGTACTATTAGAGGAGCAGGCGGCGGAAGCAGTGCATCAGTGTCCAATCGAGCAGGAGGCAATGGCGGAGACATCGGTGGAGGGGAAGCCATGTGCGCAGGGGATTCTACTTCCTCAATCTCCCGACCCTTTCCCTTGTCAAGCTTGGGTGCACCTTGTGCTTCCGCATCGAATTGCACTTCGGGTTTGGCCTCCTCTGGGTGCGAGAATCCAGCAGCACCGAGCCTCAATTCCTTGAAGCGCTGCGAGATGCGCTCTGACATTGTCGGTGTGCGCGTGGGCATCGCGCGCTTGTCTCGTGGTTGCAAACTGGGCGAGATCGTGTACTTATCTCCGGGTGCTTGAGGGATGGGTGCAAAACGCGCGCTGTGCAGATAGTCAGAGAATGACTCTCGAGACAAGCAGATCGACCAACTCGTCCTCTGCTTCGTCTGCGCGGCGCGTCTTGTTGATGTAATCGCTCTTCAGCTTCTTGACATCTGCTAGGGCCATTTCATATGCAACCATCCAGTTTTCGAGGATGTGATGTTTGCTCCCTCTCAATCGTTCCTACATGCAAACATTAACGTCGCGCTTCATGTACGCATGAGATGAACAACCTTGTAGCCATTAGCCCACTTCTCGAATGGGCCAGCGACCATGTTCTGCAGCTCCATGGCAACGACTTCGTGCACCTTGCCCTGCGCCTTCGACTCCTCCTTCAGTCCACGGAATGCGACGTGAAGGGAGGCTCCCTCATCGTTAGCGAATGCCTTGCCTGAGCCTATATCTGAGCGTCACCACTACAAGCATGCGACATCACACAGACCTGTGGCTGCCCCAGCAGTGAGACCGGCAGCAAGTGCACCCTCAGCAATGGCTCTGGCCTAAAGTAGTCCTGTGAGTTTGACTGGACCACATAGGACGGCGGGACTTACTCTGATGAAAGCAATGATTTCTTCGTTCTCAAGAATACCCTGTGACAACTTGGGTGAGACACGAACATCAGCTGCATGTGCTGTCGCCATACATGGTCTAGATGGGTATATAGCACTTCCAATCCTGTTCTGTAATCTTGCGTCCAGAACGAATTCTGGAACGTGAGCGGAAGAGACAAGACCGCCATTGCGATGGTCGAATAGCAGCAATTCGTTAAGGCTCAGATATAGCGCGACCAGCGTCAGAAAACAAGCAGAATTCAACGTTGCAAGGTCGTGCAGATACTCAGGCGTGCGAGAAACAACAGAGCGACGTGCCAGACGATCTCCTTGTAGGTATCGGCGTGGGCGGTCGACGTGGATCAGAGTACGCTATGCAAGTGGCACTAGCGCCTGCAGGCCGCGTCGCGCAAAGGCTGTGATGAATCTCGAACAGGGCGCGACCAATCCACTTGCCGATCTA